TAAATCAGATACCACAATGAGATCTATGAACACCTGTATACCTATACTCATCCCATCTTATACAATTATAGCAAAATCTCCATATTTGGAATGAAGTGGGAAAGCAAATGGAAAATCTTTATCACTAACTTTAATCAACAAAGAAAATTTTAAAACATAAATGTCAGAAAGAAGATAAAAATCAGTTACTGACACTCTCTCTGAGTCAAAAAAAAAATCTCACTCTGATTTAAGATTAGCTGACCACTAACAAACACTGTTATCTTTTCAGTGATGCACTGAAGGGACACCTGGGAAAGTGGAGTGTGGTAACAGGAGAAGCACTAGGCTTGCAGTGTTCAAAGTTCTGGTAGTAATTGTCAGTTGCTATAGGACTATTCCCAAAGTAGCTGTACTAGTTTGCATTCCCACCAGCAGTGAATGAGAGTTCCCGTTACTCCACATCCTTGCCAACATTTGGTGATGTCATTGTTTTGTATTTTCTCCATTCTAATAGATATGTAGTGGCATCTCATTGTTGTTTTAATTTGCAATTCTCTAATGACATTTGATGTTGAGCATCTTTTCATATGCTTACTTTTCATATGCCATCTGCATATCTTCTTTAGTGAAGTGTCTGATCAGATCATTTGCCCATTTTTTATTTTGTTAAAATACACATATACATAAAATTTGTCTTTAAAATCATTAGTGATGTTGACCATCTATTCATGTGCTAATTGGACATTTGTATATTTTTGGAGAAATGTCTATTCAAGTCCTTTGTCCATTTTTTAATTCAGTTATTCATTTTCCTATTCTTGAATTCTAAGAGTCCTTTGTATATTTTGGGGACCAGTCCTTTATCAGATAGGTGTTTTGCAAGTATTTTCTTCCAGTCTTGACTTGGTTTTTCATTCTCTTAACAGTATCTTTCACAGAGTAAAACTTTAATTTTAACAAAATCCAACTTTTCAAATTTTTCTTTCATGGATTGTGCTTTTGGTTTCATATCTAAAAAGTCATTCCCAAACCCAAAGTCACCTAGATTTTTTCCTATGCTATCTTCTAGAAATTTTACGTTTTGCATTTTACATTTAGGTCTATAATTAATTTTTTTTTTCCTTTTTGTCTTTTTTCGTGACCGGTAATGGGATTGCAACCCTCGGTGTCGCACCTGTACCGCGACCGGCAACAGGATCGCAACCCTCGGTGTCACGCCCGCACCACGCTCAACCAGTGAGCGGACCGGTCTCTATATGGGATCCAAACCCTCGGCAGGAGCGCCGCCACGCTCCCAAGCGCCGCACTCTACCGAGTGCGCCACCGGGCCGGCCCAGGTCTATAATTAATTTTGAACTAATTTCTGTGAAAGGCGTAAGGTGGCCTATGTCTATATTCTCCCCCCCCCCTTTTTTTTGCACATATCTGTCTAGTTGTTTCAGTACCATTTTTTCAAAAAACTATGACTATCCTTTCTCTATTAAACTGCCTTTGCCTTTGTCAAAAAGTCAGTTGCCTATAATTTTGTTGGTCTTCTTTTGGGTTCTCTATTCTGTTCCATTGATCTATATGTCTGTTCTTTCACCAATACCACAGTGTTTTAATTACTGTACCTTTACAGTAAGTCTTAAAGTTGGGTAGTGACAGTCCTCCAACTTTGTTCCTCTCTTTTAACACTGTGTTAGCTATTTTGACTCTTTTCCCTTTCCATATAAACTTTAGAATCAGTTTCTTGATAACCACAAAACAATTTGCTGGGATTTTAATTAGGATTACATTGAATCCACAGATCAAGTTGAGAAGAAGAGACATCTTGACAATATTGAGTCTTCCTATCCATGTATATAGAATATCTCTCCATTTATTTAGATCTACTTCGATTTCTTTCATCAGTCTTATAGTTTTCCTCAGAGAGATCTTGCATATATTTAGTTAGATTTGTACCTAAATATTTCATTTTCTTTGATACTAATGTAAATGGTGTTGTGTTTTTAATTTCAAATTACAATTATTCATTGCTGGTATGTAAGAAAGCAATCAACTTTTGTATATTAATCTTGTATCCAGCAACCTGCTATAATCACTTATTAGTTCCAGCAATTTCGCTTTTTGATTTTTTGAGATTTTCTACATTAGCACATCATCTGCAAGCAAGTTTTACTTCTTCCTTCTCAAGATATACCCTTTATTTCCTTTTCTTGTCTTATTGCATTAGTTAGGGCTTCCAGAAAAATGTTGAGAGGAATGGTGAGAGAGAACATCCTTACCTTGTTCCTGATCTTATGGGGAAGCATCAAGTTTCCCACCTATAGCTGTAAGGTTTTTGTAGATGTTCTTTATCATGTTGAGGAAGTGCCCCCTTATTCCTAGTCTTCTCAGGTGTTTTCTTTGTATCTATTGATATGATCATATGACTTTTCTCCCTTAACCTCTTAACGTGATTGTGTTGTATTAATTGCTTTTTAAATACTGAATTAGCCTTGAAATAAATCCCACTTGTTCATGGTATATCATTCTTTTTATACATTATTGGGTTCAATCTTCTAATATTTTGCTAAGAATTTTTGCATTTATGTTCATGAGAGATATTGGCCAATAGTTTTCTTTTCCTGAAATTATCTTTGTCTGAATTTAGTGTTAAATTAATGCTAGCCTCATAGAATGAGTTAGAAAGTATCCCCTTTGCTTCTATTTCCTGGAAAAGACTGTAGAGAACTGATATAATTTCTTCATTAAATGTTTAGTAGAATTCATCAGTGAACCCATCTGGGCCTAGTGCTTTTTATTTCAAGTGGTTATTATTGATTCAATTTCTTTAATAAATATAGGCCTATTCAGAATATCTATCTCTTATTGCGTAAGTTTTGGTAGATAGTGTCTTCCAAGGAATTGGTCCATTTCACCTAGGTTATCAAATTTGTGGGCACAGAATTGTTCACAGTATTCCTTTACTGTCCTTTTAATGTCCATGAGATCAGTAGCAATACCCTCTTTCTTTTCTGATATTAGTAGCTTATATCCCCTCTCTCTCTTTTTTTTAGTTAACCTAGCTAAACATTTGTCAATTTTACTGATCTCAAAGAACCAGCTTTTGGTTTGGCTGACTTACTCTATTGATTTACTGTCATCAGATTCATTGATTTCTGCTCTAATTTTTATTATTGCTATTCTTCTGCTTAATTTGCTCTTCTTTTTCTAATTTCCTAAGGTGGAAGCTAAGATTATTAATTTTAAATGTTTCTTCTTTTTTTATTCTCTTTGTATTTAATTTGCTCTTTTTCTAATTTCCTAAGGTGGAAGCTAAGATTATTAATTTTAAATGTTTCTTCTTTTTTTATTCTGTTGAAACCTCAGCAGAATCTTTCTCTTTTTTAATAGATGCATTAAATGCTATAAATTTTCCTCTAAGCACTGCTTTCATTTCATCCCACAAATTTTGATAAGTCTCTATTAGCATTTCTTTAAGCTCACTGATCCTTTCCTCTGCCATTTCAAGTCCACTGGTGAAACCATCAAAGGCATTCTTCATTTCTGTTTCAGTGTCTTTAATTGGTAGCATTTCTTTTTGATTCTTTCCTAGAGTTTCCATCTCTCTGCTTACATTACCCATTTATTCCTGCATGTTGTCCATGTTTTTCATTGCAGTCCTTAGCATATTTTTCATAGTTGTTTTTTTTTATCTCCAGTCTGTTCATTCCAACACCACAGATATATCTGAGTCCAGTTCTGATAATTGCTCTGTCTCTTTAAAGTGTGGGGTTTTTTTTCTTTAGTCTACACTATAATTTTTTGTTGAAAGCCAGATATGACATAATAAATAGAAAGACCTAAGGTAAAATAGGTCTTTAGTGTCAGGTTTTATATTTATATCTATTTGTTGCTCCTATTTTACTCTTTATATGCCTTAGTTTAGGTTGAGAATTTTTTTGAATCCATCTTCTCTCTTCTGTTGGCTTATTAGCTGTAATATTTGTTTTGCTATTTTAGTGGTTTGTGTTAGGGTTTATTCTTTATATCCCCACTAGAAATGTAAGCTTTGCAAGGGAAGGAACTGATCTCTATTTTGATCCCTCATATATCCCTAGTGTTTAGAACAGTGTCTGGCACATGGAAGGCACTCAGTAAATATTTGATCAACAAACAAATAGATAGAAAAGCCAAAATACAGGTTACAAAATGTAAGGTTAGAAATCATCAAAAAGAAGGTATATTAAAGCTCATCCACTTAACATCCAGATGTTAGTTTGGATCATTGAAAACATAACACAAAAACTCTAGACAGTATATGGCAATACACACATATAAAGGTAAATAAAATGTACAGGTTCTGTACAAAAATATTTGATAGTACTAAAAATGAACCAGATACTGTATGTATATTAATGCCAATAGTGTAGCCATATTCAACCTACCTCCAAATCATAAAAAATAAAGTAATCAAGTAAAATAAAATCAGCTAAGTTCAAATTAGGCTTGCTAATGAAAAAAGAATAAAAAGAAATAGTTACAAAAATATAAATAACCATCCTTTGTACCACTTTAATGATTTTTTTTAAAGACTGAAATGATAACTAGGATTACATTTATAACAGCCATGTACTATGAATCTAAAAATGAATAATAGGCCACCTCAAACTCAGTACTACACTCAGTTCTTGCTCTGAGACCAATTTTTTTATTTTTTTTTTTCCTTTTTGTCTTTTTTACTGACCGGTAACGGGATCGCAACCCTCGGTCTACTATGAATCTAAAAATGAATAATAGGCCACCTCAAACTCAGTACCACACTCAGTTCTTGCTCTGAGACCAATTTTTTATTTTTTTTTCCTTTTTGTCTTTTTTACTGACCGGTAACGGGATCGCAACCCTCGGTGTCGCGCCCGTACCGGGGACCGGCAACGGGATCGCAACCCTCGGTGTTGCGCCCGCACTGCGCTCAGCCAGTGAGCAGGAACCAGTCTCCACATGGGATCCGAACCCTCGGCGGGAGAAGGCGCACTCTCCAGTGCGCCACCGGGCCGGCCCTCTGAGACCAATTTTAAAGCAACATATTGAGTTATAATTATGTCTGGAGATATTAAGGCTATCTGCTAGAGATAAGATGTTATATTAAATTGTCTGCAGTGGATTAGGGACACAGAAACAGTAATTCTCTGCTAATTTCTTAAACCTCACAAATCTTCTGAGTTTTACAGGCCTACCAGAATCATTTTCTCCTTGGTTGGTACAATAGGTTTCATGTTGAATTTTAACACTATTATAAATGTGTAATTCTGAAAAATCACTACAGTTAGTCAAGAAACGTATTAAAATATGTTTAAGCAAAGAAAGAAATACAACTCAGGACAGTAGAATTTGCATGAATAAGAAAGAATATGATAAATTCATCAAAGATTATGGGTCAATAATCTACAACAAACTAAAAATATTTCTATTACTTTTGATCTAACTATAACTAACTTTAAGATTAGATATTACCTGAGAGATTTCCTGTTGATATATTATAAAATGTTCCTTGCTGATCTGTGGGAGGTAGAATGAAGGTATGACTTCAGTGTCCACAAAGTCCAATCCCCATGTTTTTGTGAAGAAGTCAGATTCTCGTTTTGCTAATCTAGGATCATTTAATGCTGCTGGGAGATTTACTTTGGAATGATATATAGTCCATCTATGTTGATCTGTAACTAGAGATGGGGCAACACATAAACTATTTGAATCACCTGCAAAAAGTAAACAAGAGAACTTGTAAAGTTGGTTCTATGTTTGAAAGCACATCCTAGAAAACTAAAAATGCCTAATTCTATTTCTTCCATGGGAAATAATTTAATAAAAATCAATCTCATTAAATAATCTTCAGATTCCAGCATCAACTGCCAAGGGTGTGAAAAACATACACAAGGTAAAGGCTATGCAAAATTTGAGATTTGTAGTTGCAGAGTGGGGTGAATAGTAAAGAAAGTCTTTCACTAATTCCTTTCCTTAATGTATAATTTCTCTATCATTTTCAGCATCAAAACTCTGCTACCTTCTATTATATGCTTTCTATCTTCTAATACCCAGGGTTGTTTTAGAGGTAGGTCTTTTTTCTATTATATTATGGCAGGCTCTCCTGGTTCAAATATCCTTTGGTTTATAATTCGGTGATATAAATATCACTGTGGCATTAATCATAGATTAAAGGAAAATATACAGTCAATTATCATTATTTGCAGTAGTTTTGTTCTATAAAGTCACCATGAACACTTAATTAGGGAATACTGAACCAATGCCGCTAAGGGAAATAAAAAGTTAGATTCCTGCAAGCCTCTGGTCACAACATTTTCATCAGCTAATCAATATCTAATCTTGTTTTTTTTTTTTTCTTTTTTTGTCTTTTTTCGTGACCGGCAATGGATCGCAACCCTCAGTGTCG